CCTTAAAAGATCTATTTTTCTTCTTTAATATAGTCTGTTGCATTTTGTAAAAATTTTGAGATCATAGCGATAGGTTTAGAAAAGGGATTTGAAATGATGTTTTTCAATTAATTTTGAGAATTAAAGTAAGCTTAAAAAATTAATGATTTTTCAATATCAGATGATTCATCATTATTTGCCTTGTCTACAAATAGAAGTTTGAGAATTAAAAATTTAGAGACACATAAAGAAATTGTTAATACTTTAGATCAAAAATCTATTTATGTAAGTTTGATTGGATTTATTTCAAAAATAGTATTACTGACAGAATATAATTTATGCTTATTTAATCTTGAAGATCTTTAGCATCCCATTATATTTTAGAATTTAGTATTTGATGGAAATTAAATACAAAAAATATATAATTTTGAGATTTCCTTTGAGAAATTGTTAGCTATTAATGAATTAAAAGAGATGATTTGATTGAAATTATGTAGGTGTAGATAATACAATTAATTTTTATTCTCTTTGTAATACAATTAAGCTTAATTTGATCTATAATGTTTTATGCTAATTTTAAAAAGTTTAGTATAAAGATTTTATTTCTACTAACAATAAATTTGTAATTATTGGTTTGGATTTGAAAAGGTGTTTACAATAATTAATAGGTAGATATAAAAATTAGTAATAGCAAAATCTTATCTTAATAAGTTTATTTCAAAAATAGAATTTATTAATAATTTTTTATAAAGATTCTCCAGCAAAATAATTAGAATTATATGATTTGAATCATTAATGTTCTGAGCAGTATAAAATAAATAAAATATTATTCTTGTTGTAGTGCTTCTTTTTCTGAAGATAATTAATATTTTATTACTCATTATATTGATAAAACTATAATATTATGGGATTTTTAGACATGTAAGCTTTTATCAAAATTTAAAACCAATACTGATCGAATAGATTTGATTTCATTTTCAAGAAAAGAAATCTTAGCATAATCATTTAATGAAGTAATAAAACTTTAGAATTTAAAAGCTTTATGATTATATTAATTTGAAATAGATGGTCATTTTGATTCAATTAATTTAATATCAATATCACCAGATGGTTTATACTTAGTTTCAGTTTCTCAATCTTAAATTATTAGACGGGGATTAACTAAATTTTCAAAGATTGTGCATTAATAAAAGGGCATTCATTAATTTCCATTTTTTGTTTCCCAGAAGATGCAAATTATTTTGCAGCGGTCTAAATTTATAAGAATTTGGAAATTAAATACTTTGTGATTAATTAATAAATTTATAAAAATCTACTGTGGTTGGAGTCTTTTATATTTTAAATTCAATATTCTTGAAAACCATCTAATATCAGCTTATTTTTAATCTAGTAGATCTCTAGATCAATATAATTAATTTTTGGACTTGAATAAATCAGCATCGATGAATGTACTAGATTGGGATAATTATGAAAGTTATTCATATTCATTTTCTCTGTTCCCATGGTCCAGAGTTTATTTTATTATTTTAAGAGCCTATTGTGATGAAAAATAATTATTAGCAATAAAAAAAATATCTGATTTTGCTATATATGACATAAGGCTGAAAACGAGGCCATTCTATTTTGGGGATTAAAATATTAAAACGTTCACTTTTTCATTAAGTGAAGAATTACTTATTAACAATAGACGAGGGGTATTGTATCATATAAAGTCTTTAGGTAAAATTAAATTAAAATTAAAAAAAATAATAATTTAAAATCAAAAATCATTTCTTTTTAACTACTCTCAGATGATGAAATTAATCAAATTATTAGAAAGAATAAAGAAGTGTATTTTGATTATATTTCAAATTACAATGAATATTTGAATTTTATTAAAGGACACTTGATCATAATTAATCAATTATAGAGACAAAGACTCATAAGATACACCAAGAGGATGATTTTTTATGAATAATTAATTTATAATAAATTGTTAAACATCTACTCCATGTGGTTAAGACTTTATTTTATAAATGAAAGATGGATCAATCTAGCATCATATAACAAATAAAAATGATACAAAGTACTTTTAATGCAATTTTAATTTTATGATATCGAATATTTAGGATCATTTTTGCAAAATTCACAATATAGTCTATTTAATTAAAAAATATACTTTAATTTTTCAAAAAAAAGGCAACTTATTCTAGTTAATCAGAAAAAATTTTCAATTAATCTTTGTTTATTTGTGGAATTTATAATTTAATATTTAATCAAATAACAGATTATTTAAACTTCAATTTAAGTTTTAGAACAATCGATCATTCTATTTTAAATTTAGCGATTTAATTACAAAGTTGAATATCTATAAATTTATAGAATGGATAATTTTAAATTTATTTGTTTTATTAAATTTGTTAATTTCTCTTGAATAATTTATATGTAAATTAATCTAGTTTGTACATTAAATCGGATTATGATAACAAGCAAAATTGTTCCAAAAAATATCCAATTAAAACCAATAATTTCTTCTATTAAACTAAAATTAATGTTACTTGCTATCAACTTCTTCGAAATTGATAAAATATTTTTCAACTCTTCTATTTTCTGTAACACTTAATTTTAATATTTTTATTTTTTATAATTAATGATGATTGATATGC